CGGCCATTCCGCGACATAGGTTTGTAACAGAAATTCCTCGGCTTGCGACAAGCACCTTTGCGACAAGGTTCTTTTGTAGGGCATACCAGCGCCAAGCATTCGTGACAAAGGTATGTAACAACAGGCCGCGACAAAGGGGTATGTAACAGAGGGTGGGGGGCGGGCCCGCGACAAAACGGGGTTTTGATTCACAGCCATATGGGGCTGAATGGGATATCACCCCACGCCCCCTCAATAAACTATTTCGCCGTGCCTTCAGTTCAATTCTTGATGTAACCAGAGTGCCATGAAAGCTGAGCAAGCGCGACACTTTTGACTATCATGTTTGAGTTTCACCGCGCTGTTCATAACCAATGAGAGCAGTGCAACCTGACTCTGCTGCAGTTGGGATGGCGCAGAAGAAGAAGCCCAACCATCACTCGTGACTAATCACAGATTCTGCGCGCTGCAATCGTACATGGGCAGATTCCTTCGAGTAGCAAAGCATCCTCATGAAATCTTGAAATCTTGAGACGACCCGTACCACAACCTGCCAGTTGGTGTAGGTCCCCATGACGCATGGATGCTAAGGCAAGGGCCGTGGGCGTGGGCTGGGTGGAGGCTTTGGCAGCTGGCAGAGCCACGGCTGAGAAGGTAGCGGTGACATTTGGCTAAGTTGTCATCTTAGATGCCGGCACTACTTTTATCCTAGCAGCCCCGACGGTAGTAGTGACTTAGTAATGGTGGTGCTTTCGCAGTAGCAGTAAGAGGCTGTGGTGCTTTGTTGCTGCAACCTCCAACAAGGAGACCAGCTCGCCGTTCAGCTTGTTAGGGTTGGGGTAGCTAACTTGTGCCTGACATTGTGGGCAAAGTCATCCTGGCTCTATAGACCGAACATGATAGGCCCACAAAAGGTTGCAAGGAACGGTGACAAACTCGTTTGTCATGCTTGGCGGCATGCTCCAGCAAGCAGATCTCCACGCTCATGTGAGGAGAGGTTGATGGAAAGGGCATCCTGTAGGCGTACTGCAGGAGCTTCAATACTTGAGAATCTTCGCAGAACCCACCTGCTCCCCACCGGACTGGAACTTGAAAGGCTGTTGCATCGCTCATTCAGAGCCTGGCAGCTGCTGGATTACCAAGCGCCAAGGCTGGGTCGTGGCGGCCTTGGTGCTCGTGGCCTCAGCGGCGGCGGCCGCGGTGGCTTTGGCCGGGGCATGTGCCCTGGACTGCTCAGAGTTTGCGCGCTTCAGATGTTCAGGTCTACCCGAATCCGGTCAGACTGACATATTGCCCGAAAAAAAGCCTAGGAATTTTCCCAGAACTTCAATCACAATTGGATGGGTCAGATTGCGGTTAGCTGAGAAAATTCAGCGCGGCTGACTGCGTCTGGACTGCCTATGACAAGACTGAGGTCGTCTACAAGTGTTTTCCTTCATGTTCTTTGGTCCTCCGTACATCCCAGAGAAATGGACAGCTGAAACCAGAACTCAGGGCCATACAGGGGCGTGTTGCCAGTCAATAACAGCAGTCAATGAGATGAAGTAAGATGTTCGTTCATAAAGCTCCTCGCAGCTACTTGGAGTCTTGGCACTGGCTGTGGTCGCACGATGGAAGCACCCCACTGCTTGCCTCAGCAACCCAGTTCCTGTAATGATGATTGTATAAAACCGTCATGATTGAAAAGAATGTGCTATTGTTATGCTTTCCGGTGTGGCTACTGTACTAGCATGACAAGAGGTCATCACCAGTTTGATGCAGGTTTGGCGGATGGGCTGGCGGTGCTCAGGCGTTGTCGCCAGGCTCTGCGATGTCAGCCAGCAGCCAACCCATATGCGATGTTTGCCGCCCCCTTCAAAGCTGGTATGTGGGAATTATGGGGGATTATCTATGTTATCGAGCAGCGCAGGATTCGTATAATACACAGTTTCAGGTATATCTTGAATGAGTGCGTCTCATAGTAGTATGCTTGTAAGAAGCTGTTCTAGGGGGTCTCCTGCAGCAAGAAAGCTAGGATCTGCCGCCCCACTTGACATTCCCTATTCTCTGCAAAACACAGCACCTTTGCCAGAAACCATTTAGTGAGTGTCACTGCAGCATTCCTCGAAATCCGGAACATGGCAAAAACCTACACCAGGATAGTGCCATGCCTGCAGATTGATGTCAGCACAGCCTAACAGCCCTCACCTCTTCAGACTCTAGACCTCCAGCCCTAAACGCTCATTCCAAATCCCTAGACATCCACAAAGCAGAGACCCCAAGCCTGCAATGCTAAAGGAGTCCTGGTCCGCCTTTACGGCCTCAAAGCCAAGCCGGAGCTGAACGGCATGAAGCTTTGGCTGACGAATGTAATGCTGTAGCAACACTTATTTGTGAACATATATATATATGTGTGTGTGTGTAAATGCATATGTAGAGATACAGTATAGATAGATAGATAGATAGATATGATTATATATATACACCTATATGTATACGTACTGTATATACATCATATCTATGTATACACACATCCATGTATTCAGAGGTTTCTAAATTGTTGTGCTTCAGCTAATGTACCTAAAGTTGTATGTTAATTGTGCTGAACATCGACTTGTATATTTGCGCGTGAATCCCCTTCATGCGGGAAAATTCCTTCTCGCATTGTATTATTTAGGTATCCAAGTCAAGCATTCTCTTCATTTCTTTGTTTAAGCCTTGCGCCTGCCAGTACCAGGTTCTTCCATGAAATAAGCCCATCCAGGGCTCGTAGTGAGACTATGGTTGCACACTGGCGACGACTATGGCACGGCTTACCTTCATCTGATAGGTTTGTACATGAGTTGCCCTTGGGCCTGGAATTTGCGTTCCAAGTATGTATGTAGAACGCGCCAAGAACTTCAGGAATAGATCAAGTGTAATCTTGTTCTTTCTTCCCCCGCATAGCCTGTCTTCCCGGGGACTCAGAGAGGTCATCAACACTAACTTCTCGTCTAATTCAGCACAGTGAAGCGTACCTGACACGTGACCTGAAGAAGCTGTTTTGAAGTGCTACGATCCCTACACCCGAAGCAGACTTCCATGCAAACATTGCTATGTCTTCAGAAGCATTCAGGCCCACCCATCTTTGGAACGAGAGGTTTCTCGTCCCAAATAAGCCCCGTATTGCCAAGACATAACGTGGTGCAAAGGATCGGTAACTGCATCTCCTTCGACAAGAACAAAGGAAGATGGCAGGTCCGATTGGAGGAAAGACCTGGAGCGGACTCCTTGGCTGCACAGACGCCCATCAATCTCACACACGTTTGGGCACGTATCAATGGGGCGCCTTCAAAACACTAGGTCCCAACTGAGCGTATCTTTAGGGGCTTTGAGGACCCAGAGTTTGTTGCCATGGGCAACTTGCTTTGGGCCAGCCCAACACTTCATCACCTTCTGCTGCAGTGACTACGTCAGCAAAGAGTTCATCGCCCAGAACGCCCATACCTGTATTGTACATAAGTACACTGCTAGGATGGGAAGCATTTGAAAAGCCTGCAAACTGGTCAGAGGTGAACATATTTCTTATGCAGACGTTTGTAACACGATTCCAATCACAATTGCACTGCTCCTCTTGGCCACAATTTGACCTTTGAACCCCGACTTGAGGACATGCTCTTCAAGGAGGACAACCTGCAGGCGGTCAAAAACCCCATCAGTTTTGTTGGCACTGTAGGAATGCAGAAGAATGCAGTGACACCGTCAATGCCGGTCGAGATTGAGGTTGCTGGTGGTAGCAGGTAGGTACGGAAGCTCGGTTCAAGCGCGAAAGGCCTAATCCTGAGACCATTACATGCCTGCTAGGTAAAAGAAATCAGCTGCGGGAGCCTCTATAGCCCTTTCGTACCTCATACATGCCTTCAATGGCCCCGGTAGCATGGCGCTTTGTTCTGCTATAGAGATCCCATTCTGTGTGACCTATAAAGTGTTGAGTTTGCCACGTGTATGCATGTCTTTTGCTGGTTGGTAATGCCGGACGAGGTGTCTGGAATACCGTCTCCGTCGCGCATGCCTTCATTAGGAGCACAAGGCAAGTATAGTAGCAGTAGTGATCGTAGGAATAATAGTAACCCACTCCGTGCTACAAGAAAAGGACAAGAAAAGGAAGACCAGCAACACACTAGTAAAGATAATCTGGAGCCTCGGCAGGCCGTCAGCGTGGACGAGTACGAGGCCGCCCAAGCAGCTGCAGAGGGCATGGTTCCTCAGCGCAGCAAGCCCTTGAGTAGTTTCTGAAATTAGGGTTCTAGTATTCAAGATTAGGAATACCATTTTGGGGGGTCCCCATATTTTGGGTTCTAAATTATTTGGGGTCCCCCAATTTTGGAAATTAGGGTTCCATTGCTTATGTACAGGTGGAGTGCTGGAATTAGCATCCCAAAGGAGTGAATCTGCACTTGCCTGGGAAATGACCAGGCTATCCCTCGCTTGAACTTTACATGGAATCTCCCCACTGCTTGGCACCAGCTCAAAGGACAATCTAGTTTGTGTAGGCATGGAGCTTGCGTTTGGAGTTCTACAGTCTACAGGGGTTCAAGGGAATTCTGCCTGCTGGAGCCTGCCACAGATCACAGGTCTTTGTTGACTGCCTCTGAGATCTGGGTCTAACAGAAGTTCAGGCGGCTGCAGCGACAGGGAACCCTGCGTCAGCTATAGTAGGTCATATGTGGTTCCCAGCATCCGCAAGGTTAGCCTTGTATCAGGAACTCAGCTACTTCTGAAGACTTCACCTCATAGACAGTGAAGCTGCCACGCAAATCCCAGCCTGCTATCTTTGTTGGAAATTTCAGCAAAGGGGAACCCGAAAGGGATACCCAAAATGCAGACCCAAAATGCAGAGGTGCTGTACATGAGGACTCCCAAAGTGTCCTCCACTCCTCAAGTGACGAAAGCCCAGGATTCGAGCCTTGCAGACAAAATCCGGTGCCCAGCAGAGCATGGGATGGTCGTTGAAGTGGCTGCCGAAGTTTACGTGCTTTGGCCAAACTACGCAGCATGTGTTCGTGCACGTGGGTGTGCAACATGTTCTTGAAAGCAAGTTGCATATGTCGCATGCGAATTCGAACCTCACCATACATGTTACACCAAGCCACGTGCATGAGACTCAGTTTGGGGGAACTCCAATGAAACAGACAGGATTATTTTCGCAGTTCTGATTGCGCCTCCATCCGAGGAGTGCGATGTCTGTGAGGCGGACATTGAAGTGAGCACCAAGCTCATGTACTGCGAACGATGTGACTATGCCATTTGCGAGGTGTGTGCCGTAGACATGCTTCGAAGAGAAGCTTTGAAAGTCTGAGAAGCACCAAGGGCAAGTACTCTGTAGGTGCATTAAGCTGCCACTTCAAAAGCAAGGCTCAGACCGCTGATTTTGTAAGCCCATGGTTGCTTCTCGAAGCAAACTTGTCTCAAGCTAGGAGAGTGCGTACATCATTCCGTATTTGCCAGTCCTATTCCCAGACCTAGATGCGAAGCGTTGTAGGAGGCGCCCGTAGGAAGGCCCGATGGCTGATGCGGCCAAGTAAGTGTCGCAGTTTTGGCTTTAAACTTTATGGGAAGCCCTTCCCTGAATGCATTAGCTCAGCAGTTCCAGCACTATGAAGCTCAGAGCACGCATGACACCGACCGTGTTCTGCCTGGAAGCGGGTTCCCTTTTGTTGCGTGCCCAGTGCCTGATGCGGCGCGGAGACTTTTAACAAAATGAGTGCGCAAAAGACTTCTTTGCAGGGACGGGATCGCTTTGGCCTCTGACTTCAGGAACATGTTGGCCATGCTATTGGTTTTGAGATATTCCAGGAGTTGCAGTGTTAAGGTGTGGGCGTGGCTTTATGTTCACTTTCGAAAGATTACTGGCAGATCACACATCGGCGTGACAAGTGTACTGGCCCAGGCCCAATTCAGATTCAAGCCTGACCAAAGCAGGGAAAAAGCCAGAAAAGGGCAAACAGATGAAGAAGGTTTGATCCTATTGCTAGCAGCTACAAGCATCTACCACAAGGTCTTCTCAAACTGAGGTTATCAGCGCCCGTGCTAAGGGCCTTTCATTACGATTCCGAACACAAAGGAAAGCACACCTGGAATGACCCTTCGTTCAAGCCGCATTGCCCTTGCATTTTCCCTGCTATCCGTTGCCATCTCCATCTGCCCACGAGCATCATCGATGCATCTCTGATTGAACTCGACCAAGATACGAAATCCCCTTCCCTTGGATCTTGGGGTCGTGTGGGTGCAAATCCTGTTAGAGGCGCCTCCGCCGCCCCCAGCAGAGCGGCGGTCTAGCCGAAGCCCGCGGAAGAAGAGCAGGAAGGGAGCTTGGGAATTTTTGGGCCCAGAAGCTGACAGCAGCCATATCTTCTGCCTGAAGGCTGAAGTGCCTTTTGTAGGGGACCGGTGGTTTGGTAATCGTACTGTATGGTATGGATGAGAGGCCCAGTACGCATAGGCCATAAAATATCGTCCGTGCTTTTTCGAGGCAGCTCCGGGTTCTCAAAAATGCGAATCTTTGATTCGAAGCTCTTCTTCTCCCAATGGGAACTCCATTGGTGAGGTAATATATGGGGGGGTGTCATTAATTTTCAGGAGCATGCCACCTGCAGCCCAGTGGAAGGAGCAACAGCCGCCGCACGCGCCGAAATCGGCGCCGGGGTGGTTGGGACGCAGAGGACGCAGCGCTTCCGCGCTTCCTTGGCAGATGGGCCTTGCTTACGGTGGACACTAAACATCATGCATGACCCTAAGTATATTCTATATTGGGAATTATAGTACTCTACTATAAATATATTATGTATTGGGATTATAGTAATGTATTGATTATAGTATATATTGGGAATTGTGGTATTATAGTATAGTAAGGTAATGCAGGATTTTAGCATCAACAGTATGGTGCGGTAGAATCCGCACCAAACCATGGTGGCCCTAGTAACTTGTCGGCTTCCTTGCTGACTGCGATTATCTGGACACAACTTCCTGCAAATACAAAGAAAAAGCCCACCCGAATCCTACAGTCACGATGTCCGCAAGCAACAGTAGGTTTTGCGAGCCAATGCGGGCATTTGGGGTCTAGGGCTTAGGGATCTTGGGTTCCTAATTCCCTCACATCCCCTCAGGACCCTGCCCCATCGGCCGAATCAGCTTTGGCGCTCATGCCGGGCACTGAGATCATGGACACGTAGATCTTGGGCTCCCTGTTGTGGAAGTGTTCGACCGTTTTAGCTGAAAAATCTCCGTTGCACAACTTGCCTGCAATGATAGTTGCGGTTCCTATTCTTTCTCATGCGGGAGTGTTGCCACCCTTCTCAGCATCCGTCTGCTAGCTGCGAAGATGAGCGGCTAGGCGCTGCGCAGGCCGTGTTGCAAAAGTTGTGTCGCGTCTATCACTGAACTGTCGGCACATCAACACCGTTCGCCTGAGCAATAGCTGTTCAGAATGAGGTCCAGGTGCAGGTTTGTCACCTGTTTGCACTTCAAGTTTTGCGTTCGTGTGCATTTTCAGATGCAGCTCAGTTTGCAACGTTTATTCCTACTGTTTGATTATGCTGTGTCTTCGTGGCAGCAATGTCCTTCCGAGTGCAGTTTATCGCTGTGCTTGCTCTTCGGCTCTCCGCTTTTTCCTCAGGCCCAGCTGGCTTTTCTGGAAGGATGTTTTTGCAAAATCCGGGTGCGCCAGGCGTTCACAGCCAGCTCAGGGTAAAGACGCTGAGGGTATGCCCTCAAGAGAAGATGGTGATTTCATGTGATTATCAACCTCCCGAAGGGCCACAACTTGGAGAAACTTTCCTTTGAATGCAAGCGCTCCCTTCATCCCCAGAGTATACAATGTCATGGGGAAATATGGCAGTTTCCCCAAATTAGGATAACCTAACATGTGTTCCCGGTCCTGGGGATCCTACCCCCCCACATGGTATGGTCCCTCCCCTCCCCAGCCCAAGCCTCTCAAAAGTGCCAACAGTTACAGGGATGGGCCCCTTGAGGTCGCGATCCTCGTAACTGTCGTCGTTTTTGACGCCTCAAAGCTGCCATCCTTGTAACTGTCGTCACTTTGGGCTCCTCGTGCTTTGGTCGCGTCTCAAAAGTCACCACAGTTACAGGGATGGGGCCAACTGGTTTCACGATCCTTATAATTGTCATCACTTCTGAACCTCCGTCTGGTCTTGGCGTCTGAAAAGTACCAACAGTCACAGGGAAGGGGCCTCCCGGGGTCACGATCCTTGTAAACTGTCGTCGCTGTTAGACCTTCGTGCCGGTTATACCTGGGGCTATAGCTCCACTTAGGCTCAATCGTAAGCTGGCGCTACATCCCAGGAACTTCCAAATAAACTTGTGGCCAAAATCATTAGAAGAATTATGGTAACAGCATTAGAAATAACATGGGATATGAAGCCGGATCATCCACGAATACCCCCACCCCCCATTATATACCACCGGAACCACAACCACAGGGCCACGAGGGAGAGAATCACCAGCACAGCATAGGTACTATAGGAGGGGGGAGAACCACCAGCACAACAGGACCACAACAACCACAGGGTCCACAGGCAACAAAGAGCAGAACCACATGGAAAAGACCGGGGAGAACCACCAACACAGCATAGGTATCGGGGGGGAGAACACTGGACCACAACAAACTCAGGGTCCACAGAAAAGAGGGGGGACCATGCCATGGTGGCGGGGGGGATGGGGTGTAGCAACCCTGGATCCTATAGACACCCAATATGGCACCCCTCATTTTCGGTAACCCCCATAATAGCAGGAGGGGAGTCGTCCAGTGCTTGCCGAGGCCGTCGCGGCCAGCATTGCCTCCTGGCATGGCAGGTCTTGAGCTCAGCGCGACATTGCCCTTTTTTGTGGTGATGTGTGTAGTTTCTCAAAACGCTCCCTAGAAATGTTGTTTGATGGGCCACTTTTCAGCAGTTGAAGGTATCCGTCTTAAGAAGCACTATGTGTTCTTTTTGCGACACCTTCTAGTGAGGATCCAGTCATTGGGTTTGTGGGTGAGAGAGGACCCTGGCGAAGTGCACTACGTTGCCGTGTTAGGCCGCAGTGAAGGATTTGAAGTGGGTTCATTTCGCCTCAAACCTATTGCAAGCTGATTTCGCCCCAGCGACTGAGAACATCTCCTTGTATACTTTCGGCGGTCTTTTAGTTTCGAAGCCACGTGATGGAGTCAACCTTCGAAAATCAGGCATACATTTCCTTTTTCCTGATCTTGGCTAAGAGAAGCCCAGGCACTCCCCGCCATGTCTCTAAGGCACTGTTACAATAGCAAACCCCCACGCTCATATGAGGGAAAAACATGCCTGAGCTATTGGAATCTCCCATGCATACCCCTGGAGGTATGGCTTCAATCTTCCTCTATGCCCTAAATGTCTAGGGCCCTCACATAACGTCCCTATGTGGCCAAAGCCCTTCACTTGCAGGTCCTCCAAGACCGTCAGGGCCAGCCGCGCACTCGGAAGTTTTCTGAGGATACATTGGGGGTATATAGGGTCATATAGGGATAACGGAAAAGAAGCTAGAAACTACTATCGAGGGGTTATGTAGTTGGAAATGGAGCCCTTTAGTACCATTCCCAAGTAAGAGCAAACACTGAGTACGGAAAGCATGTCACGTCTACAGTAGCCTTCCAGCAAAACAGTAAGGCTAAGGAGCGGTGACCTTAAATTCTGAACCTTAAACGAATTTTCCCTTACTTGCCCTGCAACATGCCTGTTGAAACCTTAGTTACTTCGTTACTATTACTAATACTAGTACCATTATTGTGGTGAAACGTTTAATGTTACTATTAGGTTTGGGGGTCAAACTCTACCGCTGCGTTTTTGCACATTTCACAGAATATAATCGTGTAATGCATTATTTCAATCTTTAATGGAAGGAGTCTAAGACCACCCAAGGGAAGTCCATTTCGAAATCCTCAGAAGCCAAT